ATATTCAGTTTTAAGGCCGATACAGGCCGATACCGATAGGGGGCCGATTATATCGTGCATCCCTATAAATTATTCTTTTTTTTAAAAGCTACATGCAAACCTCTTGAGAGCATTCCCAACTTCATCCTTTGTCAACTTTATTTTCTCTGTCTTTTTTTGGGCGTTTCATGGTGCTGCAGTCTGACCATTACACATTGTTGCTTTAAAGAGTAAATAACTCTTACTTCTCTGGATATATGCATAGAAATGCAATGGGAGGTAAACATGCAAGAACCCTGCAGCAGTCAGCTGGGAGAGGACAGGGACAGACAGTACTCAGTTTGAATGTGACATCCTATAAAGAGACGGCTTACTCATGCATTTCACCTGGGATCTAAGCTATTATTTATGATCAATGCTGGGAACTTTTAAATCCATGACAAAGGCAACCTGCTACTTGTGCCTTTTAAATAAACAATCAATTTCCAGAGAAAATAAAACATTTAGATAAGTGGGGTTTAACTAAAAGGGGTTGTTCTTGATCACCAAGACCCCTCTACACTTACTCTACACTTAATTCTGTAAGATAAAGCTTTGAAGATGTTTTTCCTCCCTTACTTTTCTCTCTGTCTGTGAGGTACCCAGATAAAAAAGGATGTTTACAGTTCTAGTTGTTTATAATGTTTTGTAGATGCTGATGCTAATTTTGTAGCAATTTAAATGATTTAAGCACATCTGCCTTGCTGCCTTGCCACCAGGAACAGGTCCAACTTATTGCTGGCAATGCAGACCAGGCTCCTGCGCCGCTTGTACAGAGACCAGATGGCCCCCGACCCCATACTCCTGAAGCCGCCCCAAAAGAAACTACGAGGGACCTGGTTGAATGCCTAAAAAAGTCTAAAAAGCACATGTGGACTGGTTGGGCAGAGTGCAATGAACCCTCAAGCACCCTGCATAGGGTGTAGATCTTGTCCACAGTTCCCAGACCGGGATGAAAACTCCACTGCTCCTCCTGAATTAGAGGTTCAACCATCATCTCCTCTCCAGCACCCTGGCAAAGTCTGGCATAGGGGAGGCTGAAGAGTGTGATCCCCTATGGTTGGAACACTCTCAGATCCCCTTTCTTATGCAGATGGAATCACCACCCCTGTCTGCCAATCCAGAGGCACCATCCTGACCTCCATCCATTGAAAAGCCGTGTGAGCCAAGACAGCCTGACAACATCTAGAGCTCTAAGGTACTCAGGGCGGATCCTGGCCACCCCGAACTCCACCACCGTGGAGTTTTTTGACCACCTCGGTGACTTCAGCCTGAGTGATGAACAAATCCGGCCCCAAGCAACCCTTCTCTTCTTCCACCACGAAAGTCTGTCAGATTGATAAGATCCTTAAAGTATTCCTTCCGATGTCCAAATATGTCGTCTTTCAGAGTCAGCAGCCTTCCACTGAAAACAGTGTTAGCAAAGCACTGTTTTCCGCTTCGGAGATGCCGGAAGGTTAGCCAGAATGACTTTCAGGTCAACCGATAGTGTCAGGCTTTTTAAAGATCGGCGAATCGATGATCGGGCAGTAAACCTGTCATCAGTGCACCCCTGATTTCCACCTATAACCAACATGTTTTAGATAATAGTCCATAAAATACATTTTTTTTTGTTGTTGTTGCTTTTCTTCAATGGCAGCTGAAATAAAGAAACTGCCTTACTGAGTTCAGTGAATGAGCAAACAGGTTTAAGATTAGTGGGGAGTGGTGACCTAGTGGTTTGGGCATTGTGCTTGGCATCCAGAGGTTTTGAGTTCAAGCCCCAGTCCCACTGACTCCCACTCTGGGTCCCTGAGCTCCCCGGGCACCGCACAATGGCAGCCCACTGCTCCCCAAGGGGATGGGTTTCATGCAGAGAGTTAACTTTGTTGCTCTGTACTTGTGACAATAAAATGCTGGAAAGAAAAAAAAAAAAGATTAAATAAAGTTATAATATCTCAAATACCTGCTGGTTCTAATACCGTCTCTCAACAGACAAGACACTGAACCTAAAGGCTGATCTGCTAAAGCAGCAAAACGTCAAACCAGTACAACAATGTTAACTAACAGGACACACATGAAGCTTAAGTTTTTTCAATGCAACATATAGGCAGTGTTGCAAGAAAAGCACCTTAATTATTTCATCATTGTAAATTAAAATCTTAGAGGAATGTGGCACACAACATCTGGCATCTATCCCATAAAAATAAAGGCCAATGAAAGTCCAAAGGAGGTCAAATCAGTTTAAGCTCGATGATCCTGATAAAGTGGCAAGTTAGTGTGTATAATCTGTCAGTATGTAACACTGAAGCAGCGTTAGGTAGCCACAGATATAAGAGCTGAATGACATATAGCCATGATCTTTGAGTTTCTGTGCAATTGCCTTGGTATAATAAAATCCATCCAACAGATCCAACCGCTTCTAGACTTATGTTGTATTTTAGAGACCTTTTAAAATAATATACCAGAAAAAAGTGCCTCAAAAAAGAAATTTGAAGGCAAGCTTTCAACTATGGAGTAAGTAAGTTACTTCACCATATACTGTTCTCCAAACAGGAAAACACACCAGACTCACCAGAGGTTCTTTTTGAATGACAAATAGTCTAATTTTGGAACAGAAGCATTAAAGATTTATTTCTATTCTGAAACTGACAAGAAAAACCCATGTTATGAATACAATTTCTTTCCAAAAGCATAGTTTAAGCACAATTGTTTAAAAACAAAATGCTAGCCATGATCTTTGATTCGATCTGATATGATGCATGAACAATAATCACAATCGTCCCATCAAAAAGTGACTAAACCCAAATTTCAAAAACACAATGGCATGTGCAAATTCATCTCTATTTATCCACAAAGGGTTTGCTTTGTTTGCTAGTTGCATTCCTGCACAATGTAGCTTTCAGTCATAAAAAGCTTAATGCATTCCCAGAACCCAGTGGAAAGCAGCTTTTGAAGGTCAAACTGCTTATGGATTCAGGTTTAGCTCTCAAGTGGACTGAGCTAAAAAAATCCACCTAAAATGGCCACACACCATCCTGCAAAGGTTGAAACCTTAAACCCTCACTTAGTGCTGAAACATTCAATCGGATTAATCATGATTAATCATTTATTGAAGTAATCATTAACTAATTTAGTAATAAATAAATTGTTGTGTAGAGACGGTAAAATATGCCTTTAGCCGATAGAGCAACCCACTTAGAGCAGAAATTATATAAAAATTGTAAAAAAAAATTATAAACATTTTGCATTTAGGATAAAAAAAATAAATAAAAGTTTCACTATCACCTGGTTTAATTTAGTAAAAGAAATCTTCTTTTAGGAACTTTTGGATGTCCGATTATTAATCAA